TGGTTGCTCTCTATTCTTGTTACATAGGTATCTTGGGAACTCACTTCACCATTATTCTGGAAGAATCCTCCCCCCCTTTTCCCCACTTTAGTTGGATCTTTTGTTTCCTAATCCCATGTCTTTCTGTGTCTTATTCCTTAGGTTTACGCTATAGTATTTTAAGAAAGAGTATTTGGGAAATGTTCTTTTGAGGCTTTTTAGATATGAATATGGCTTTATTTTTTCTCAGCTTAATTATTTGATGGTTTGGCTGATTATATAATTCTATATTGTAAATTATTTACCCTCACAATTTTAAAAGCGTTTCTCCATTGCTTTTCACCTTCCAGTGATGCTGTTGTGATGTCTAATGCCATTATATACTTGATCCTTTTAATGGAACCTATATCTCCCTGGAAGCTTGTAGGATCTCTTTTGTCCCTAGTGTGCCTTAATGTTTGTTTGTTTTTTTTCCTTCTGTTTTCTTTGACACTTGAGGAACCATTACATCTGAAAATCATATCCTTTGGTGTTAGAAAATTTTCTTGAATTATTTTGATGATGAATTGTCCCCTGTTGTTTTCTCTTTTCTGTCTTTCTAGAATTCCCCTTCATTAGCTATTGCTTATTCTGGACTAGATCTTGTAATTTTGTCAGGCTTTTACTCTGATTTTCTATTTCTTTTTCTTTTATACTTCTTATTAAAGAAGGTTTCGTCCACTTTATTTTTCACCCTGCAGTTTTTCACTTCTGTAATCATAACTTTTACTTTCAAGACCTTAGTCTTATTGTATACTCCTTCTTCACCCCCTCTGCACACAAAAATTAGGGCTTCCTATTCTTATTTCATGGGTGTACTATCTTCTCTTAACTCTCTGCAGATATTAGTTATAGTTTTTATTTATTTTTAAAATATTTTCTATCTAGTCTGTTTCTTCCATCATTTTCATTTTTTTATAGTCTCTGTCATATTAGATATCTTATTTATGTTTTTGATTGTCTTTGGCAGTCTTCTCATATATAGAGTGAAGCACTAATAAAGTAGCAAACACACATAATGCTTAGAATGTGTCAGATACTGTTCTAAGTGTTTCATTTATTTTAATGTATTTGATCCTCATAATGACTTTAGGAGTTAGTTTCCATTGTTGTTGTTATTATTATTATTATTATTATCATTGTCATTCCTATTTGACAGATGAGGAGCAGAAGTACAAAATGTTTAGTAATTTGCCCTGTGTAATACAGTTGGTAAGTGGTAGAGCTGGAATTTGAATTCAAGGAGCCTGGCTCCATTGTCTCTTCTTTGAACCATTATAGTCATTCTGCGTCTTACTGAAATCAGGAGCAAGCTGGAAACTCTGTGCAAGTGGGTAGGGTTTGTTAAAGTAGTGTTTCTTTGTGGAACCTCTGATGAGGTCCTTTTTCACGGGTTAATTAGATTTACCAGAGAAGAATCTTCTACACTGCTGATTAGAAGTTGAATCGAAGCCTAGCCGCTGGTAGTTTGGTTGCTGAGTGGTGAAAGAGGACCTGGGAATGGGTCTCAACTTTTGATACGACTTGGACTTAGTCCACCCGTGTGGGTGTCTTCTAGTCCAAAGACCCTTGGCTTTACCCTGTCCAGGGACGAAACCTTTAGCTTTCTGCAGTGATGAGGAACTATAAGCTGCTCAGTTGTGCAGATTCTGAGAGGAAATCTTGAATATATCTGCAACTCTTATTTTGAGTCTCACCTTTACCCAGCTTTCAGTGCCCCCCATTCCTAAGCCGTTTGTGGAGTCTATGATGTAAACATGATTCTCATTTTCTCACTGGTAGTTTGGGGTACATCTTCCTTGTATTTACTTTCAAATTTTGTACAGTTTTCTCACTTTGCATTCTATTTGACCCTGTGTTTATGAGGAAGCAAACAATAAAAACAAGTCTTTGCTATCTTTTAGGAAAAGGCTTGGGAAAAATGTTGAATGAATTGCATGTTTTTAATGTGCCATTTAAAATTTTTCATTGTCTGTTGAAAAAGATCTTAGATGTCTCCTACCCAAAGCATTTCATGATGCTCCAATGAGATATACCACCTTATGAAAATCTATCCTTCTACCATGGATGTATTTTCTTCTTTCTTGTGTATTTTTTATATTTCATATTATTTGTATTTGCATGCTTCTCTTACATTCTGCCCTTCCCCCCCACACCTGACCATAACTGCTTGAGGACCTTGAGTGATCTTCTACAGAGTGGCTCAATAAAATTTTGTTACATTAAGTACTGTGTATATGTTGTTCTTCTAAAATATTAGCAATATATTAAATATTGAGAATAGTAAAGGAGGGAATTAATATAATAATGCAACAAAGGAGTTTAAATTCAGATATAAGGAAGTATAATTGTTAAACTTGTATGAAATTTTTTCATACAGATACCTAATCATAAGAAAGTATACATCTCTTTTTTTTCCCGGACAGATAAGAACAACTACATGATCTATTAATTTTTTTGGCCAGGCTCATGATTCTGTAACTTAGATGACAGATAAATTTGGTGTTGCCATGTTATGTTTGTAGTGTAATGAGATATAATGTTAAGTGCTTAGAAATATTCCAAATAAACATTCCAAATAAATGCACTTTAGATAAAATGATGTTTTAATGTATTAGAGAGGCTAAATCCATAATGAAATTTATACTTGTAATTTTCCTTTTAAAAACTAACTTTTAGTTTTTGTATTTTATAAAATGGATTTTTATAAATCAATTCTGTAATTTTTTTTCCTCCTGATCTTTCAAATGTTCTGAAGGAAACAAACTGTTTCAGAATGAGAAACGAAATTGTCCAAAGAAAGGTTATTGCTTTAAAATAATGTTTATTTTTCTAGTACTGTATTTTTAGGAAACTCATGACACATTTGTCTTTTAAAATATATTAATGTTTCTTTGAAAATAAAGTAGAGGAAGACTATTATCTATCTACATTTTAATATATAGCAGTTGCTGAGGTATGGAAAACATCAGTGGTCACTAATATGTTTTTTTGTAGAGCTATGAATCTAATGGTATTTGGCTCATTACCACAGACAAAGCAAGCTGAAATGATTGTTAGGCATGGGTATTTGTTTTTGTTTTTAAATTTTCTGGCACCTTACAAATAATTTATTGGACTATGTCTTATGAAAACACATAGAAGCATTACTCTAAAAATTCCATTATTTTGAAACCATATTATTTGAGTACAGTGTTCATAGATGCTAAAAATATTTTTTAATTGTCCCCTGAGATTTGTGGGATACATGTGGAAAAGACAAAGTTGGTGTTTATAGTTTGACTTGGTTAATTCTCTGTATCCATATCACTCTTCTTTCATAATTTCTTCATGAAAAAATGTAATCACATACAGATTTCTATTCGCTTGCAACACAAAATTAATGTGAATTCCATTTCAAACTAACCACCATCAAAAGTTTCTGAAAGTCTGGTTTATATTTTTTTAAGTGCAGTATGTGGATGACTTGCTTAGTTTTGATTTTTGGAAAAGTACATTTTTAAAAACATTTTCTTCAGGTTGTTAAGATGTGGGTAATGGCGACAATACTAGTATCACATTTTGGTTAATTTAATGTCCTTCCTTTATATAATGTATTTTTGTCTACATATATTTGTTTTCATGCCATTACCTACTGAGTTTCTGAAAGTAAATTTTTTTTTGCTTATTAAAACAAAACAATCCTTGAGATTGTTTTTTACTATTCATTTTTCTTTAACTATTGTTTTTATTCTATTTTTGAAGGCATTAGTATTAATTTCAGTGAGAAGGCAAATCATCATGACTATAGATAACCATTTTTATATAGATTACTGCCTTATCACTCAGAGCAAAATTCCTTAGAACACGCCTTTAAAGCCTTTAAAATTATTAACCTATGGTTTAATTTGTTTTAGCTTTTTTTTTAGAAATTGGAGAATATTGTTTCCATGTAGTCAAGTCCATCTTGTATTATTGACTCAACAAAACTATTATTAATATGTGGATATGTTCACTTCTGAAATATAGAAAGGGAATCTAGTTATTGTTGACCAGAGTATCTCTCTCAGCTACTGATTCATGATTCATTGTGTATTTATTTTTAATTAAAATGCATACCACCTATTGCTTGTTTTACTTTTCTAGATCTTTTAGTTCTTTCATGGTTTGTTAGATACAAGCTTCTTTTTCATCTTCTTTTTAAAGCCCAAATACTCTTGGTTTTCTCCTTTTATTTTCATAATATACATTTAGGACAAAATATAAAACATGTGTTGTCCTACTGATTGTCTCTCTTAAATATTTTAAAGGTAAGGAAGAGGAATTCTGGAAATTTGCTTGTGTTTTTTTCTTTCCTTGTCTCCCATGAATACATGACTTGATTTATCTTGATCAGCCTAGTAACTTGCTCCACATTTTTCCAAAAGTGCAAAGCAGTTTCAGCTAAAAATACACATATCAAAATGCTCCAGAAGTTGTGGCCACAGCTCAAAAATGCTGATCAATTTTGAAAATCTAAATCAACCTCGGCCATGAAACCAAGGGAAGAACCTTTGTGGTGGGGGACAGATTTCCAAAATTCACCACAGTCCTGTTCTTCGCTGGAGTTTGTGCTGATGTTGCCAGACAACTGAGGAATAGATGCAAAAAGCAGGAAGCATTATTGAATTGAGCCCTAGCGCCAATTTGGGAAAAGCAAATTAAAATGTAAAAGAATATTTTTCCACTCCTGGCATCTCAATGTAAAATGGCAAAATACATGGTTGCTGAAAAAGTCACAGAAATTACCAATTTTGCCAGAAAGCCTAATTTTGCAAAAAAAATAATCTAGTCTTTTTAAGTTAAAAATGCATGCACACAGTTAAAATTAAAAAAAACAAAAACCTCAAGTAAAATAGTTTTAATTTACAAATCAAACTGTATATACCTTTAATTCAGAGAGTGTTTTGACATAACTGACTATGTGTGTGTGGTCTTGTTTCAATGTCTTTTGTTATTTTCAGGTGCACTTGAAGAATGGATGATGATGATTTTGGTGGTTTTGAGGTATGTGCTATTATTTTACCTCAATTTTGCTTATGTGATTGTTTTAACTTTGTGAGGTTATAATGGAGTATATACTACATTGAAAATGTATTATTTATCATTGGCATTCATGATTTTTTTCTTGATCATTTTTAATGTAACTTTGGAATAAAAAAAATGAAAGCAAGGCAAATTTAAACATATCCCCTCTGAAAGTTAAACTGCATTATTATTATTGAACATTTGGTCATGCCTGTAGGAATGGTTTAAATTAAGGTAATTAAGTGCTACTAGTGGAAGCACTAAAGAAGAGATTTTAAAAATTGTCAGCAGATGATTTTGTTGGGATACATGTCAGTTAGGAAATAATTGTGAGCTGAGAGATGAGCATTGAAGATCTGTCACATATTTTCATGTTTGCACCTGTAATGAGTTGATTTAGACCATTAACTACATAGCCTTTTGGAGGCTTATTGAGCTAATTAGTATGTTTATGTTAGAGTATTCTCTAAGGTTTAAGATGGTATTTTGTAAGTGGAAATTGTTAGCTGAAGAAGCACCATCTTTTCCTTAATCCTTTTCAGTGAGTGCTCTTTTTATTGAAATATTTTGTAACCCAGTTATTTTTATGGAGCCCGTATAGTCTTGCAGGAAAATCTCTGGATTAGGAGTCAGGATGCCTGAGCTCAAGCCCTGGAACTACCATCAAGTTAGCTCTGTGATTTTTTTTTTAAGTAAGACTTTCACATAGCATGGAATTTGGTAAAATGAGATTGTTAAAAATAGAGAATGTAATTAATGACATTAATAAGAAATATAAGATATAAAGTCTGTACTCATTGTTCTGAATATTATGAAAGAAGGGTATGAATTTGTTTAGATTTGTGTCATTTTCTCTTCTGTCAAAAAGGAGATATTTAAAATTTGAACATACCTATTTTCAGCGTTTCATCTAAAACTGTTTTTTGTTTAGCACATTTGTATGTTTTCTATAATATTTTGGGTGATTGAATCTTATTTATGTTACTGAAATGTAATGTTTAAAAATTTGTAAATTTTCTTTTATTTTGAGGAAAATGTATGTTTTAGATATAATCTCAGTTTATTGCCTAGAAGTTGGCAGTTATGTGAAGGTTAAAATTAGGTATAGTCTCCTTTACTTAAACCATGCTTGATTTATTATTAGAAAAAATATTGAGTGGTTAGTGATCCTTAGAGAAAAAAATGACACTTCCACATTACAGTCAATGAATGGATCTATTACTTCCGTATTATATAGGTACAATTTTAACCAACCATTCCAATTTAATTGTGGTTATTAGGGTTCTTTCTTACCACATCCTGTTGTAGAAATATGGAAGGTTTCTATGCTTGGTCATATAAACCATGGTCATTTTTTTATAGTTTGTAGAGAGTAGCTTTCGCTGCAGTGTATTCTACATCTCTTATCTCCTGTGGCTGATTTCCTCAGTTAACTTCTCCTTGGCTGACAAGTCAGTTAAGAATCTGAATTGAGCCCTGCTGGTGTGGCTCAGTGGATTGAGCATGGCCCCATGGACTGAGAGGTCCCAGTTTGATTCCTAGTCAGGACATATGCCCAGGTTGTGGGTTCAATCCCCGGTAAGGGGTGTGTAGGAGGCAACCGATTAATGTCTCTCTTTCATGTCAATGTTTCTATCTCTCTCTCCCTTCCTTGCTTTCTAAAAGTTCAATAAAAATATATTTAAAAAAGAAGAAAAAATATAGATGAATCCCATTTATTTAGATTGATTTCTAATTAGATCTTATGCTAATTAATGAAAAAGATTAGGTCTCTAGACTTTTAAAGAAAAATGTAGACATATAGACATATATTTTATGTACATGGGTAAATGAGGTGAGTTAGTTTAAAGTACTTAGCTATGAACTTCACAAGTGAAATTTTATTAAGAATATGTAAAATAAAAATTAAAAAAAATTTTTCTTTATTGATTTTTTAGAGAGAGAGAAAGGGAGAGGGAGAGAGAGATAGAAACATCGATTGGCTGCCTCCTGCATGCCCCCCACTGGGGATTTGTCCCATAACCTGAGCATGTGCCCTGACCAGGAGTTGAACCAGCAATCTCTTGGTACATGGGTTGACGCTCAACCACTGAACCACATCGGCCAGGCTAAAATAAAATTTTCTTTGGCAGGAGATATATTTGAGGAAGTAAGGAATATTTTTACTTAAAGATAATAGAACATGAGTACTGGAGGTAATGAGTAGTGGTGGGGGTAGTAGTAATGAAGACTGAAAAACAATTTAGTAGTCAGAGGGAATTTGGAAATGTGTGGTACATTACAGAGAATATGCTTATAGAATTGGGAAGCTTGATTGCTTAAATAGCATTCCTATTTTCCAGGTCTTCTAACATAATTTTGCCTTTGTTTTCTAGGCTGCAGAGATTTTTGATGGTGGAAGTGGTGAAACCCAAACTACATCTCCTGCTATTCCTTGGGCTGCTTTTCCTACAGGTACTAGTATACAGTAACTCAGGATTTTTAACATTTTTGCCTTTTCTTTGGAAGCATCTTTCTACTTTTGCACTTGGTCTTCTATGATCTGAAAAATAAAATGACCCAGATTTAATCTAGTTTTTTCCATGACAAATCATCAGTTGCATAACAAATTCTGCAATAGTGGCTCGAGGGATGATTCAAAAAATAATATCATGAACATTAAAGTACAATTTACATTTTCTCATTTTTCTAGTTTTAGGCAGGTGAGGTACAAATAATAGTTTAAGGTTGGTAAGTTCATTAGTTAAACTCTTTCTTTTTGTATTCTAAATATATTCCAAAAATAATTTATCATCTCCATCAGTATTTAAAATTAGAAGTTTTTTTTTCAGCAAAGTCATTCAAAAGTGTTAAAAATGCAAAAATAAATTCTATTATTGAGGGATATTCTGTGAAAGACATTAATATAATTCATGTCTAAATAGTTTTTGAGTTTTCTAGACTTTTTGTTCTGCCAATTCATTGTAAAGGCATTGGAAGGTAAAAATATCATTGTTTGATAGCTCTGGTTAGTCTTATATTATTAGAGATGTTTATCCTACAAATATTTTTCTAGTGCTTATGCATTTCATGCTGTGGGGTTATGTCCTTTATTTTAAGGGCAGGCATATCCGTATTTGTGATTTGGGAAGATGATGATTTTGTCATTCATTCAGTTAGCAAATACTATTTTATGCCTGGTATGAGAATTGCTGTCCTTGAAGATGGGTGTGCATTGTTGATCTGTGCTTTGAAGGATGCATATAATTTCATTAGGCACAGATAGGAGAATGGGGAAAGATTTTGAAGGATGAAAAATAAGTGGAATAAAGATGTAGATGTGGGAAAGAGGATGGCATGGTTAGAATGCTCGTTCTTATTTCAGGACATTATATACGTTGTTTCCTTTGCTAGGAATTTTCTACTTTGCTACTCTCTCCCACTCCCTTATCATACTAACTCCTTTTTTGTTTAACGTGTTGTTTCTTGATTTCAAATTTCTTTTTCTGGGAAACCTTCCCAGAGAACCCTTCCACATCTATGTGCATCTGTTTTCTGACTTTCATGTTAGACTTTAAGTGTTGTGGGATTAGGTACTATGTCTGTCTGTCTTTTTTTAAACTTTATTTTCTTTATTGATTTTAGAGAGGGAGAGAAAGGGAGAGGGAGAGAGACAGAGAGAAACATTGATGTGAGAGAGAACATCGATTGGCTACCTCCTGCATGCCCCCGACTGGGGATCTGTCCCATAACCTGCACATGTGCCCTGACTAGGAATCTAACTGGCGACCTCTTGGTGCATGGGTCAATGCTTAACCACTGAGCAACACTGGCTGGGCTATGATTGTCTGTCTTACTGTTACATCTTAAATGTTGAGTGTAGTGCCTAACATCTAGTTGGCCCTCAATAAATATGTGTAGAAAGAATAATTAAAGAAGTGAATAAATGAATAAGTAATTGAATTAATTACTAGACTAGGGACAATGGAAAGTGATAGGAAGATTTGGGATCGTGATATTTATATAATGATGTAGTATTTATAGTGTGCTATTATACACACACACACACACACACACACACAACATAAGTCTAGTCTCCTCAAAGCTTAATGAAATTAGAATTAAAGAATAATACCTCTAGTGTACACATACACACACACACACACACACACACAATTTCTCACTTCCTTAAATAAATTAGATCTGAAGAAAGTCCTCTTCCTAAATTACTGAATTTTTTCAATGACTTATAAAAGCAGAGGAAAACTAACTTGGCCAAGAGTTGAAGTTAAAGGCAGGGTAGGTGATTGCTTAGCCCAAGCAATCTTTCCCCTTTTTTGAAGATATCTGTTTTCTGTACAGTCATAGGCAGCATCTGACACTGCCCTGCAGTAGATTCTCTCCCAAGAGGCCCAAGGACCAACATACCAAATGGCTGGTTTCAAACTACATCAGAGCATGGCCCTATGAGCTCCTTAAGTGGCACACCCAAAGGGAGAACTTGGCAGACATCAGAACTTGCTAGGGAGGATTTCACTTTGTTGGGTAACCTCCTGCATAGGAACTTATACACTGTGGTTGGTCAGGGTCAGTTCTCACAGTCAGCTAGCTTAAGGGTCAACCCCACCCATGGACGGGCCAACCATAATCAAGATTAAACTACAGCCCTGGCTGGTTTTGCTCAGTGGTTAGAACGTCGGCCCATGGATCAAAGAATCCCAGATTCGATTCCAGCCAAGGGCACGCACCTCGGTTGCGGTTTGTCCCCGGCCCCAGTTTGGGTCGTGCAGTTGGCAACCAGTCCATGTGTCTCTCTCACATTGATGTTTCTCTCTCCCTCCCACTCTGTCTGAAAATGAATGTGAAAATATCCTTGGGTGAGGATTGAAAAAAAAAGACTAAACTACAACAGCAGGGTTCATATAACCCACACAAGGGATATTCCTGGAGCACCTAGATCAAGTGATCAGGGAGACCACTGAGTCCCATAGGACACCTACTACATAAGGTCACCTTATCAAGACTAGGAGACATGGCCGGTTTGGCTCAGCGGTTAGAGCGTCGGCCTGCGGTCCGGAGAGACCCAGGTTCGGTTCCCGCTAAGGGCATGTACTTCGGTTGCAGTTTGTCCCCAGCTCTGGTTGGTCGTGCGGGTGACAGCCACTCGATGTGTCCTTTTCACGTCGATGTTTCTCTCTCTCTCTCTCTTCCTCTCTCTCCCTCCCACTCTATCTGTACAAAAAATGGAAGAATGTCCTCGGGTGAGGATAAAAAAAAAAAAAGACTAGGAGACATAACAAATCTACATAATACACAAAAACAAATACAGAGAGGCAATCAAAATGGGGAGACAAAGAAACATGTCCCAAATAAAAATAGGAGAAATCCCCAGAAAAGGAACTAAATGAAATGGAGGAAACAATCTACCAGATACAGAGTTCAAATAAGCAGTTATAAGAATGCTCAAGGAACTTAGAACTTCAATCGCATAAAAAAGAACATAGAAACCATAAAATAGAACCAATCAGAAATGAGGAATACAATATCTGAAATGAAGCATACAGTTGAAGGAATCAATGGAAGATTAGATGAAACAGAGGATTGAATCAGTAAATTGAAAGACAAGGTAGCAGAAAACATATTCAGAGCAGTAAAACAAAAAAATAATTTAAAAAAATGAGGATAATATAAGGGACCGCTGGGACAACATCAAGTGTAACAACATCTTCGTCGAAGGTGAAGAGGGAGAGCAAGGGATCGAGAATCTTTTTGAAGAAATAATGACTTAAAAGTTTTCTAGTTTGAAGGAAAATGACATAATTCAGGAAGCACAGAGTCCCAAATAAGATGAACCCAAAGAGGCTCACACCAAGACTTTTCATAATTAAAATGGCAGTGGTTAAAGTCAAACTGAGGATCTTACTAGGAGCAAAAGAAAGACAGTTAACTACAAGGGAGTCCTGATAAAACTGTCAGCTGATTTCTTAAAAGAGACATTTCAGGTCAGAGCAGATTGGCATGAAATATTCACAGTGATGAACAGCAAGGACCTACAACCCAGCAAGGCTTTCATTTAATATTGAAGGAGAAATAAAGAGTTTCCAACAAAACAAGCAGAAAAAAACAATGGAGTTTATCATCACGGAATCAGTATTGCAGGAATTGTTAAAGGGACTTTTTTAAGAAGAAAGAAAAAAAGGGACATAAATATGTATAATAAAGTGACAATAAATACTTATCACTAATTACAAAAATATAAAAAGCTGGTGTAGCAATACTTCTATCAGACAAAATAGACTTTAAAACAACAGCTGTAATAAAAGACAAAGAAGGACATTACGTAATGATAAAGTGATCAGTCCAAATAAAGTATATAACCCTTGTAAGCATGTATGCACTCAGTATAAGAGCACCTAAATATAAAAGCAAATATTGATGGACGTATAGGGAGAGATTGACAGTAATATAGTCATAGTAAGGTACTTTATCCCCACCTTGGCAACAATGTATATATCTTCCACACAGAAAATTAACAGGGAAACAGCAGCCTCAAATAACAACTTGCTTGATATATTGAGAGCATTTCACTCCAGAACAGCAGAATATTCATTCTTTTCAAGTGCACATGGAACACTTTTCAAGATATAGTACATGTTAGGCTACAAAACAAGTCTCAATAAATTTAAAACCATAGTAGAAATCAATTACAAGGAAAAAAAACTGAAACACACAAATACATGGAGGTTTAATAACATACTACTAAACAATGAGTGGGTTAACATTAGATCAGAAGAAGTCAAAAGACAGCTTGAGACAAACAAAAATAAAAACACAACAGCCCAAAGTCAATGGTATACAGTGAGAACCGCCCTAAGAGGAAAATTAGTAGCAATGCAGGCCTACCTCAAGACACAAGAAAAATCTTAAATAAATAATCTTACATTACCCCAAAAAGAACTAGAAAAAGGACAAGCAAAGCTCAAAGTGAGGAGAATGAAGAAAATAATAAAAATCAAGCAGAAATAAATGAAATAGAGTCTAAACAAACAATACAAATGAGCAATGAAACCAAGAGCTGGTTCTTTGAAATTAAAAACTTAATTGATAAAGCTTTAGCCAGGTTCAACTCATCAAGAAAAAAAGAGGACTCAAATACAATCAGAAATGAAAGAGAAGTAACAGCTTGATTCCACAGAAATACAAAAGCTTAAAATAAACTATTACAAACAACAATATACAACAAATTGGACAATCTGGAATAAATGTATACATTTTTAGAAACATACAATCTTCCAAGATTGTATCAAGAAGAAACAGAAAATCTGAACAGATTCCAACCAATGAAACTGAAGCAGTAATCAAAGTTCCCAACAAAGAAAAGTCTTGGACTGGATGGCTTTACAGGTGAATTGTGCCAAACATTTAAAGAAAAGGTAATACATATCCTTCTCAAACTACTCCAAAAAATTCAAGAA